CACTGTTAATCCTATTTTTATACCTGGCTAATAAAAAACACTTTCTCTCCTCTCTTGTGAAATTAAAAGATTTGTTAAGATGACTGGCTATTTTTTCCATTGTTTCTCACTCTTTATTGACTTAATCCAATCTGATTTAAATTTAATTATTAGTGGCTCATATTTTTATTTCCTGACCTTGGTAACCTTCATTTTAATTTGGGTGATCCCCCTCACTTTTCTCTACAACTTCCATACTTTCTCTCGTTCAACCCTGGGAGATTTGGGAGAAACACCTGGGCATTCTTTGCTGGAAAGGTGCTCATCTGATAAACTTCCAGAGATCTGCAGATTTCTGAAGGTCTCTCTGTCCTTCTGCATGTTAGTAACCTGTCCACAGAAAGCAGACTTCCCAGCTCTGACTGTCTCCCTCTAGAATCAGTGGTGCTGGCCTGTGGGCTGAGGCATCAGTGATGGTGGAGGACAGGACTCTACAAGCTACATTTTTACTCTTTTGAAAATAACTTGCCTTTTTAAAATTCAACCAGCCAGTTACATTTATTGACCCCTCACTGCATCCTGAATCTCTTATCTGGGTGCTTTTAATGCATCCATCTAAGCTCATTTTTTCTGCTTGATGGCTTCTGGCAGCTCTCTCTCTCTCTCTCTCTCTCTCTCTCTCTCTCTCTCTCTCTTTTTTTCTTCAGTTTTTTTTTTACTTTGGTGTGTCTTGTTCTTTGGGGGCCATTTGCTTGTCCAGCGCCCATTGATCTGGATCGCGTGTGAGTTCAGCCATCTGCTGGGAAGGGTAATTGATCAGGGAGGTACATCTGGCGGCCAGAACCTGGCGTGCATCCTGCCGTCAGCTCATCCACATTGTCGGGGCTGCCTCCAGCACCCCTGGTCTGATGGTTGGTGCAGGAGGAGCCCCCCCAGCCTCCCTGCCTGAGGCTGCATGTCCTCTGGCCTATCTTCACCTCCCACCTGTATTCCCTGCCCCCCTGGCCCTGGCCTCCATTTCTCAGTCTCTCTGTCTCTAGCCATGGTTCCCTTGTGCCATTACTGCTAATTAATTCCCAGTCAGAGTGATGGATGGTTTAATTTTCTTTCCCTGAGAGCCCTGTTTTTCCCCGCCTGGCCAGGGACTGGGCAGACTCCCAAGGTGCTGGGGCAGGTGACTCAGGAGAGTGGGGTCTTGGCAGGGGAGGTCAGATGGAACCGCACAGGGCTTGAAGGGTCCAGGCCCCTCAGCTCGGTGTTATTTCCATCACCGTCACCCAGGAGTGACCTGGCTGAGCCAGAGCCTTCTCCTGCCCACGTTCGAGTCTCAAAGCCAAAGGACACTCAGCCCCATCCAAGAGCCTTGAGCAATGCCCCTGCGGCAGACTCTTGACAAGAGAGGAAATTGTTTCATGTCACAGGGCAACATCAATGGGAAACCCTCTTCACCTTACGCCCAGAGTTCCTCCTCTCTCTACCCCCAGACTCCCCCCTGCTCCCCTCCCTCTGAGGACCGAGTCTCAGGCACTTTCTTGAGAGACAGTTTAATCCATCCTGCCGCTCTGGCTTCTCTTCCCTCACTTCTCTGAGTAGCGGCACGAATGCCCAGCGCCCACAGAATCCACCTTTAAAAAGAAAAAAAAAAAACAAAACAAATTTTAATTATTTATTTAACGGACATATGGAACATTTAGGAGATTCCTTAACGAGAGACAGGCTCTCGCTGTGTTGACCAGACTAGGGCGCAATGGTTATTGACAGGCGCAACCCCATTACTGATCAGTGCAGGAGGGTTTTCTTGTTTTTTTTGTTTTTTTTTTTAATTGAAATAGAGTTGACTTACAATGTTGTTGTGTTGTTTCTGGTGTACTGCAGAAGGATTCAGTTATATATATATTTTTTTCATGTTCTTTTCTATCCTGGTTTATCACACGATATTGAATATATTTCCCTGAGCTATGCAGTAGGACCTGGTTGTTCACCCATCCCATATGACATAGTTTGCATCTGCTAACCCCAAACTCCCAAACCACCCTCTCATGCCTCCCCTCCCCCTTGGCAATGACAAGTCTGTTCTGTATGCCTGTGAATCTGTTTTGTTTCACAAATAAGTTCATTTGTGTCATATTCTAGATTTTACGTAATAAGTAATACTTGTCTTTCTACCTTACTTCACTTAGTATGATCATCGCTAGATAATCTCTGCAAACGGCATGAATACTGCATTGTTTTTTATGGCTGAGTGGTATTCTCTTGTGTATATAGATGCCATATCTTCTTTATCTAGTCATCTGTTGATGGCCAGTGAGATTGTTCCCATGTCTTGGTTATTGTAAATGTACTGCTATGACATAGGGGTACATGTATCTTTTCAAATTCTAGTTTTGTCTGGGTATATGCCCAGGAGTGGGGTTGCTTGATCATACGGTAGCTCAGTTTTTAGTTTTTTAAGGACCCTCCATATATTTTCCATAGGGGCTACACCAGCTTGGGGCTTCCCTGGTAGCTCAGTTGGTAAAGAATCTGTCTGCAGTGCAGGAGATCCCGGTTCAATTCCTGGGTCGGGAAGATCCGCTGGAGAAGGGACAGGCTACCCACTCCAGTATTGTGGCCTGGAGAATTCCATGGACTGTATAGTCCATGGGGTTGCAAAGAGTTGGACACGACTGAGCGACTTTCACTTTGACTCACACCAGCTTACTTTCACGCCAACAGTGTGGGAGGGTTCCCTTGTCTCCACACCATCTCCAGCATTTGTTACTTGTGGACTTTTTGATGATGGCCAGTCTGACTGGTGTGAGGTGGTACCTCATTGTAGTTTTGATTTGAGTTTCTCTGATAATTAGTGATGTTGAGCATCTTTTCATTTACCTACTGACTCTCTGTATTTCTTCCTTGGAGAAATGTCTATTTAGGTCTTCTGCCCGTTTTTCGATCGGGTTGTTTTTTTTCTTGTTGTTGAGTTGTGTGAGTTGTTTGTGCATTTTGGAGCTTAAGCCCTTGTTGGGCTCAACATTTGCAAACATTTTCTCCATCCTGTGTGTTGTCTTGTCACTTTTTGATGGTTTCCTTTGCTGTGCAAAAGCTTGATTGCATCTCATTTGCTTATTTTTATTTTTATTTCCGTTGCCTTAGGAGACAGCCTAAGAAAACATGGGTACGATTGATGTCAGAGAATGTTTTGTCTGTGCTCTCTTCTAGGAGTTTTATGTTGTCATGTGTTGTGTTTGAGTTTATTTTTGTGCCTGATGAGAGGGTGTGTACTAACTTCATTGATTTACATGCAGCTCTCCCGCTTTCCCAGCACCGTGACTTGCTGAGGAGACGGTCTTTTTCCCATTATATATTCTTGCCTCCTTTGTCGGACATTAATTGACCATAAGTCCTTTTTCCCCCCTAGGGCTCTCTGCTCTGTGCCACTGATCCATATGTCTGTTTCTGTGCCCATATCACAGTTTTTATTACTGTAACCTTGTAGCACTGTCTGAGGTCTGGGTGAGCTATATGTCCTGCTTTGTTTTTTTCTTCCCTCAGAATTGCTTTGGCAGTTCTGGGTCTTTTATTTGTTATTGTTCAGTCGCTAAGTCATGTTTGACTCTGTGACCCCATGGACCGCAGCACACCAGGCTTCTCTGTCCTCCACCATCTCCTTGAGTTTGCTCAAACTCATGTCCATTGAGTCGGTGATGCCATCCCACCATCTGATCCTCTGTTGCCCCCTTCTCCTGCCCTCAATCTTTCCCAGCATCAGGGTCTTTTCCAGTGAGTTGTCTCTTCACATCAGGTGGCCAAAGTATTGGAGCTTCAGCTTCAACATCAGTCCTTCCAATGCATTGAATAGGGTTGATTTCCTTTAGGATTGATTGGTTGGATCTCCCAGAAGTCTTAAGGGACTCTTAAGAGTCTTCTCCAGAACCACAGTTCAAAAGCATCAGTTCTGTAGCACTCAGCCTTCTTTGTGGTCCAACTCTCACATCCATACATGACTACAGGAAGAACCACAGCTTTGACTAGATGGACCTTTGTCTGCAAAGTGATGTCTCTACTTTTTAATGTGCTATCTAGGTTTGTCATAGCTTTTCTTCCAAGGAGCAAGCATCTTTTAATTTCTTGGCTGCCGTCACTATCTGCAGTGATTTTGGAGCCCCAGAAAATAAAGTCTGTCACTGTTCCCACTTTTTCCCCATCTATTTGCCATGAAGTGATGGGACCGGATGCTATGAACTTAGGTTTTTGAATGTTGAGTTTTAAACCAGTTTTTTCACTCTCCTCTTTCACCTTCATTAAGAGACACTCTAGTTCCTCTTCACTTTCTGCCACTAGAGTGGTATCATCCGCATACCTAAGGTTGTTGATACTTCTCCCCACAATCTTGATTCCAGGATGTGATTCATCTGGCCTGGCATTTTGCATGATGTACTCTGCATACAAGTTTAAATAAACTGGGTGACAGGTTAAGTAAGTTAAATATACAGCCTTGAAGTACTCCTTTCCCAATTTTGAACCAGTCTGTTGTTCCATGTTTGGTTCTAACTGTTGCTTTTTGACCTGAATATAGGAGTCCTTATTGTTTTCTATACATAGTATCATGTTGTCTGCATAGAGTGACAGCTTTACCCCTTCCCTTCCATTTCGCATACTTTTCATTTTCTTGTCTGATGGCTGTGGCTGGACTTCCAATACTATGCTGGATAGAAGTGGCCACCACCGTCTTTACTGTAATCTCCATCACCACCACCATCGTCACTGTCGTCATCATCTTTATCAGAGCAGCTGCTGTTCACAGGGCATTTGCTCTCTGACAGCCACAGTGCTGAGCCTTTTATATACCTTCTGCCTTCCAGTCCTCAACGCAGTGTTGTAGATACTGTGGTTTCTGTTCTGGCCCAAACCTTGGGCTCTGCGTCTGTAGCTCCTGCCTTCCCGCAGGAGCCCTGGGAGGGTGCAAAGCATGACCCCAAGTCAGGGTGTCTGACCCCTCGTCAGCCCCTCTCCCTCTGTGCCCCTCCCTCCCTCCACAGGTGTACGAGGGCGGGAGCCACGTGGACCGGTTTGTGACGCGCTTCCTCCTGAAGGAGACGGCCAACCAGATCCAGTCCCTGCTGAGCTCGGTCGAGAGCGCGGTGGAGGCCATCGAAGAGCAGACCAGCCAGATCCGGTGCGCGGACGGGACTGAGCCGTGCCGCCGGCCGCGTGGCGGGGCGGCGTGTGCCTGGGGGCTGGGCAGCCTTGGGCGAGCCGCTGCCCCACTCTGGGCCTCCACTGCCCCACCTGTCAAGTGGGGGCAATTATACTACCTCTTCACGTTGTTGTTGATCTAAAACTATTCCACTGTTTGGCTCATTTTTTAAAACCTGGGAATTAGGAGACTATGGTGGTTATTACCACCATTGGAAAACAAGTTATCTCATGCCGTGAGTGAAAAATACCATGACTGTAAAAATAAGCCCTGTGGGTGCTCAGACCCCTCGACCTGCTCCCTGTTTGTTTAGAGGCTGTGAGATCGTAGATGGGCGTTGACAACACAGTAGCATCAAGTCACCACCTCAGAGAGATTGAACAGCAGTGAAATGGAGTGGGTTTTCTCCTGAGGTTAGTTAGTATTATTTAAGGCCTTGTTTGCGGGTCCTTGTGAACATGGAAAAGACCTGGGGTCCCCCCATTTTGGGGCAGACACAGTGTTGGGGCAATGAGCCTGGGGTCCGGAGAGGAGGGCCAGCCCCTGGGGGCCACATGAGGGACATTTGCTGTCCCGAGTTCAGACCAGCTCTTCTGTGCTCTTTCTCCTCTGAATAGCCGATGTGCCTGAGGCAAGGTAGAAGTAAAGACATACAAACAGGGACTCCCCTCGTGGTCCAGTGGCTACAACTCTGTGCTGCCAAGGCAGGGGGCCCAGGTTCAAGCTCTGGTCAGGGAACTAGATCCCACATGCCACAGCTAAGACCTGATGAAGCCACATAAATAATTTTTTTTTTAAGCCATAGGAACAGATGGGCGCAGCCACCAGGTGCCTGAGCCTTACTGAGCCTGGCGTCTCCTGGCACTGTGGGATGCTGATCCTGGGTGGGGATTTGTCCCAATCCACTGGCTGCAAAGGTGCTCAGGGATGCTGTTCACAAAACGTGTTTGCTCTGAGGGCCTGCAGCCCAGTCCCCTGGGAAATGCAGGACACAGAGTCCTGGGCCCTGGCCACGCCATCTGGGATTGGGGTCCCTGGGAGCCGAGCCCTGGACTCTGCGTCCGTGATCAGTCTCATGATTCAGAGGGTCCCCAAGGTTAAGGGGATTTCCTGTTACATAGATTTCCTTCTTCCTTTATCATCACTATCTTGATTAAAAAACCTGCAACTTTCTGTCACAGATCAGATGGAGCACTGCACACTTAATAGAGCTGATTCCCTGCGCTTTGCCTTCACCCCCCGAGTCAGCCTTCCCCCCGAGTCAGCCGTCCCCCCTCCGAGTCAGCCGTCCCCCCACGTGTCAGCTGTCCCCACCACGTGTCAGCCGTTAGACCTGCCTCCCTCCCCAAACCTCACATAGGGATGATGGGAACATACATCTGCTTCCTGTGCACCCCCACCTTTAACCCTGCAAACCTCAGCTGTCTCAGCTGCAGGGCTCCCCGGGCACCCTGTTTCCCAGCCCTGGGGACAGCATGACCTGCATTGGAGCCAGCGGTCCATCCCCAGGGGACCCCTGCTGCACCCACTCATGGTCCGCGGGCCATATTTCATTCACTGCTGGTTTGTAGAGGCCCCAGGACCAACACCTCCAAGACTCTGCCAGCCTTTCTCCTCCCCCAGGGGGTAGGGGGTAGGCAGCCCCTCCACACGGAGGGAGAGGCTGCTGGACTTTCAGGTTCACAGGAGGCAGATTCTGGAGCAAACACGGCCATGCTGGGCACCGGGCGTGTTGACCATGCACATGGGCGTGTGTCTATTTGTGTGTCCGCAGTGACTTTTCTAGCGTTTTTGCACATGGGGGTTTGGGCATTTGTTGAGTCCCTAGTGTGTGCCAGGCACAGCATTTGGTGGGCTGCACGTCAGGGGTGCTGGTCCATGCACATCAGTGTGCGTGGCGGGTGGGGTTGGGCCAGGGCACGGGGCCAGGCTGAGCCAGGATCGTGGATTTTTGTCCTGTTAGATGCCTGCTCTCGACTGAGTCCTACGGCTTCTTTTTTTGGAGGGGGGCTTGTTAGCAAACCCAGGCCCCGACCCCAGAGGCCTCTGAACACGGGATCGGGGCAGGCAGGGTGGGCGAGGGGCAGCTGAGAGCTGCAGGGAGGTGGGGGCCTGGCTCACCCTTGCGGGCCCTGGAAGCTGGGACGGAACCTCCCAGGCACAGGGTCTGGGTTCCCAGAAAGGATCTGAGTTCAGATGCCAGCCCCGCCCTCGGGCAGCCTCCTCGTGAGGCAGCGGCCACCGTGTCCAGCTCGGGATGGGGCTCCTGGGGGTTCTGTGCACGTTTCAGCCCCACAGTTGGTGCTGAATGTTGGTCAGAGCCACTCCGAGCTGTCAGGGCCCTGCAGCCCCCCTCACAGGGTGCGTTCCCCCACCCCCTCTGCAGACAGAACCACAGCCGGCCCAGCCATGGCGCGGTGGAGACCTGGTCCGGGAGCCCCACTCCCCCCTGCGCCCCGAACCACAAGCTCATGGCTGCGGAGCAAGGAAAGAACTTTCCGCCTGGTGAGAGCCGTGGCCCAGGGTGGGGGCACCGGCAGGGGGTCCCGATGGGGCCTGGGCCTCCCGCAGGGACTGGGACTGGAGGGCTGGAAGCAAGTCCTCTGTCCGGGGGAGGGGGGCTCCGGCCTGGCCCTGCCCCCATCAGCATCACTGTTCCTCTTTCCCAGGCACCTCAGACCCCAAGGAGGACGGCCTGGATGCCCAGATCAGCAGGCTGGCGGGGCTTATTGGACGGCTGGAGAACAAGGTGGGCCCGCAGAGCCCCCACATCCATCCCTCCATCCCCCCTCCACCCTCCCAGCCCCCCAGGGAGTGTGGAATTAGGCCCCAGTTTACAAGAGGGAAGTCAGGGAACCTTAATGCCCCTGGGCGGGGTTGGGGGGTGGTGTGGACTAAAGGGAGACCCTGGGAACATGACCTTTGTACTTGTATGGGGCCTGGGGAAGAGGAGCTATGAGAATGGGTGGGCGGCCAGGAGGGGGCGTGCCGAGGAGCAGAGAGCGGGCAGCAAGGGGGCTGAGCATCAAGGAGGCTGTAAGGCCTCGGGTGGTCTGGGCAGGTGGCAGCCCAGACCTGGCGTGGTGGCGGCTGAGGGACGGGGAAGTCCAGGGGAGGTCAGAGTGACCCGCAGTGTGAAGCCTTTTAAATGGGACATGGCCCATCTGCAGGCGATGGAAAATGGAATCATGACTTCAGAGAGTGTTTCGTGACTCAGTAGGTACTCGGGACCCGACTGTGCTAGCGTCTCAGGGCTGCGGGAGCCACGGACCACAGCCCAGGGGCTCAAACCCAGGCGCCGTCTTTTCACACATGGAGTCTGGAGTCAGGATGCCGGCAGGGCTGGGTCCTCCCATGGCCTTCCCTGGAGCATGTAGACAGCCATGTGACTGTCTCCCAGTTTCTTATAAGGACAACAGTCATACTGGATTGGGGCCCACCCGTGTGACCTTATTATCACGCAGTCAGTCTTCAAATGTCCTGTGTGCAAATACAGTCACATTTTGCAGCACTAGGGGTTGGGAATTCAACATATGAATTTGGGGGGAACACAAATCATTCCATAACAATGACCATTTACTGGAAGAAAGAGAACAAACAGTTAAGGTTTACCAGTAGGCACTGGTATCAGACTGCCTGTATTTGAATCCTGGCAATGCCACTTAACAGCTGTGTGACCTTGGGCCAGTGACTTACCCTCTCTGAACCTCCGAGTCCTCCCGTAACCATAGAGAAGATAGTCAGAATAGTACCTCTCACAGGGTCGTTGTGAGGATTAGATAAAATATCTTAATGGCTTAGCACAGAGCCTGCTGCTTAGTTAGCATTTAATATTAGCACTGTTATTTAGCCATTATTATGAGACATTCTGATACCAGAACCTATATACACATGCACATCTACACGTATATCTACGTAAACCAAGATAACAGGTATCTCTGGGCTGTAGGGTCACAGTGGCAATTTTACATTTCTGCTTTCCTGAAACTTCTATATCTTTTGCAACAGGGCAAAAGGAAAATAGTGCTTTGATGGTTTTGTGGGTTAGTTCTGAGAGATCCGTGAGGGCGCTGGGTGGGGCTCCCCAGGAGGAGGCTGAGGCCCAGACTTGGGGGGAGTCCAAGGGGGGAGGCAGTGAACCCCACCCACAGGGCCGCAGGGATCTCCCCCACTGCCCTCCACCCCACCTCCCCCTGAAGCGGGCTACTTGGTGGGAGCAGTAGGAAAGACTCCGCAGGGACCTGAGGCCTGGTTGTCATAACAACTCCGCAGGCGCCCCCAGAGGGAGGCTCTTTGAAGCTTATTTTTAGCGCCCCAGTCGCCTTAACAACCAGCTGGCTGGAAACCAAGGAGCACCTGGGCGTCCTGGAGATGGGGTGGGCCTCTTCCAGCCTCAGATTGGCCCCGGGGCACGAGCAGGAGCCAGGCCTCGCCCTCCACGGAACAGCCTGAGCCCTCCTGGCTGGGCCTGGGCTCCCCGGAGCAGAGGCGAGGCAGGGAGACGGGGACGCAGACCTGGGTGCCACCACCCCTCCCCTCATCTCTGCTTCATCCTTACCCTCACGTGGCCCTGCCCGCCAGGAGGAGCCCACTTACACCTGCATCCACACCCTGTGTCCCCAGAAAGTCAGCACCTCTCTGGGACCGGCCGTGTATTGACGGGGTCCCTGGTTCCAGCATTATTAAGAATTTCAAGGTGATGACCGCTCAGGTCATGGACTTGTATATCTGCTACTCTTTTCTCCAACAGCTAGGCAACACGCCTCACACATGATTGTGTAGAGAAGGAAGACACACACACATACATACCCCCCCCAACACACACACTGTGCCAGAGACACGGCTTGCTTCGTGGAGGACGGACAGGGAGGGCACAAAGGTGGCATCTGTTGGGGAGCCCAAGTTAAAGGATTCCGTGAATCGGGGGCAGGGGGCCTGGCCTCAAACCCAGGCTCAGAGCCTGGACCAGCTCCTGCGGCCCTGGGGTTCTCTGCTCTGAAATGGAGGTGCTGGGCACTGCGGCAGCCCCCAGCACGGGGTCAGACGGGGGCTGTGTGGGCTCCCTGCTTCCCCAGGGCTGACAGTGGGGCAGTCTCGACCTGAGTGTCTGGAAGGTTCCCTGACAGTTGGTGTAAAGCTAGCCCAGGGTCAGTCGAGGGCCAGCGAGCACAGACCACCTCATTCAGACCGTTCTCTTCCTGAGGCCCCAGGTCGGGGGTGACTGCAAGTCAGGCAGTCCGTTGCCAGCAATTGTAGCAAACCCCCAGCTCTCTGGGTTCAGCAAAACGGAGCCTCCTCTGTGGTAGGTCTGCTTTGCCTCTGGGCTCCAGCGGCACAGCCAGGAGGAATCTGTGGCTCTGGGTGGCTTTGCAGCCTGGCTTTCTGGGTACCCCCTGAGCTAGCACTGTGGGCTGAGCCCCGGCCAGAGAGGGCTGGCCCTGGGAGCTCCCGCCAGCCCCAGGACTCGAGGGTCCCTGGAACCTCGGGGTGGAGGGGTCGCAGCTCTCTGGTGCTCCGTGTCCTTGTGGTGGTGGTCCTGGAAGCCTCCCGGGCAGAGAGGGCCTCAGCCTCCAGCCTCCCTTCATGCCTTGTTGTTGCAGACCCTTTGGTTTGACCTTCAGCAGCATCTCTCGGACGAAGAGGGCACCAACATGGTGAGGACCCCTCCCTGTGGCCCCGTCCCCTTCTGGGCCGGGACTGAAGATGCAGGTGGCTCAGTGTCCCTGACACCCACCCCCACCCGGCACCAGCGTTTGGCCTCCCTCCCCTCCTGGGGCTGTCCTCTGGCCTGGAGCGACGGGATCAGCAGACACTGATTCAACCAGCAACAGTTCTGCGGACCGTTCATTCTGTTGTCTTGGCCCCAGTGCCTTGCAGTCTTTCTCTCAGGCCTCTCTAAGTCCTCTTGTCTGTTCTTCAGCACTTGTGTGGGACTGCTGCTTTTAGTTCATTTTTCGCCAGTTTTCACGAGCAAAGATGACAACTGTGTGTAGTGGGGTTGGGGGGGTCAGGTTTATTCTGACCACGGTGTCCTGTCCCAGGGAGGCTGCTGGGTCCTGGGCTGTGCCTCCGGGGCCGGGTGGGGTCCTGGGTGAGGGGGTGGCTCATGGGTCCTGTGGCCCACAGCACCTGCAGCTGGTCCGGCAGGAGATGGCCGTGTGCCCGGAGCAGCTGGGCGGCTTCCTGGACTCTCTGCGCCAGTACGTGCGGGGCACCGCCGGGGCCAGGAACTGCTTCCAGTGAGTAAGCCGCAGGCCAGGGTGGGGCAGTGGCTGGGGGTCCGGCCTGGGGGACGCCAACGACGCACCTAGTGGGGTGGTTACAGGAGCTGGGGGCAAGTCCTCAATCGGGCTCTTCCTTACTGTGCAAATCTGGCAAGTGACTCCGTCTCCCTGACCTCAGCTTGCTCATCTGTAAAGGGGACCACTAACGGGGTGGTTGGGGGCCTCAGTGGAGCAATGCACCGTGGGGGGCGTCAGGCGGGGCCTGGCCCCAGTGCCCACTGTGGCAGCTGCCCTGCTTGCTGTCGTGGTTGCTCCTCAGGGCACCCCCCCACCCCGGTCCTTGCTGCCAAGGCCTGCGTCTGGCTGGGGGTGTCCCCGAGAGCTGCTGGCACAAGCTGCTGGGCTCCCTCCTTCCCAGCGGTGGCCCACCCGTCAGCACCTGGTGGACAGTAGCTGTGGGCTCCACACCTGTTCTCTACTTCCATTCTCCCTGCCTCCCAGCTGATTTCTCTCTCTTCGCAACACATGTGCCTCCACCTGCTTCCTGGTGATGCCGGGTAGGGGGGCCTTGGGGGTGCAGTGTGACTCAGGCTGCTGCTGCTGCTGAGCGCTAATTCCCAGTGGCGGGAGGGGGGCAGGTAAAGATGATTCCAGTTGGCGGCGGGTGCTACAGAGGCCGGGAACGGGGCAGAGGTCTTCAGGAAGGGGCTGCTGTGTGCTGAGGCCTGAGTGATGAGCTGCCCCACCCGCAGAACCTGAGGTGGGGGATGGGCCGGCGCCCAGAGCCGTGGTAGCAGCAAGGGGAGTGTGTCTAGGAACACACGACAGAGTGCGGCTCCACAGGGTGACCTGGGGGTGGTGGGAGGGATGGCCGGGGGACAGGGGGCAGGTAGGCAGGCCCTGCTCGTTCCAGGTAACAGGTACCATGGGAGAGATGCTGAGCCCAGAGCAGGGCTCAGTCCTGCCTCCTCCCTTGCATAAGGGCGTGTGGTGGCTGGACAGACGTGCAGCCGGGCAGCTAGGGAGAGGGGACTGGCCCTTGGCACGACGTGGGCAGAACTGGGATCTGTTTCAGAGTGGGGCTGACCGGATCAGCCCAGGGCCAGGATGGGAGGCGGGTTGTAGAAAGAGTAGGCCAAGTGAAGTCTGAGATCCTTTGACTTCAGAAACTCACTGGGGGTGGTGAGGGTGGCGGGGTGGGGACGCGGGCTGAGCTGGAGACGTGGCGGAGCATCAGGTGAGTGGGCAGGGGCTCACACAGGCCTTTGGGCCACATCGCACACGAGGTGCCAGCGTACAAGTTGCCCACCCTGGGGGTGGTGGGCGTGCAGGTGTCACCCAGGGCCACCAGAGCCATGCACTCGTCACGGGAGAAAGTGTGGAAGGAGAAGGGGGCCCACAGCTGGGAAGGCAGGCTGGAGACAGCACACAGTGGGGCTTCCTGTTGGTTGCATGACTGTGTGCCCTCCGTGCACCCCAAGCCTGCCTGCTGTGTCCTTCCAGGCAGAGGCCTCGCCCCATGCCCCTGAAGCCAATCAGTGTGTTAGCCGAGCAAACCCAGCACTGTAACTGCTTTTCCCATGCTGCAATTACCAAATGGAGACGAGGCCCATCCCTCGTTGACCTCTGTCCACAGCAGGGCAGGCTCTGAGGAGCGAGGCCACCTCTGGGCAGGGCCAGGGTCCCCCTGATGACCAGGTGGCACGCAGGCCTGAGCCCATCCCATCACTGAGATAGGAGCTACGGCTGGCGGGTAACTTCGGGTTGGAGGGAATGACATAATGATGCGGTTAGCAACCCTGTTTCCGTCCTGAGCGGCAGAACCTGGAGCTGCTGTGATTATACAGCAGACGCCGCCTGCGATGGGGGTCCCCTCTCCAGGGGTGTTGGGGGCTCTGTGCTGCTGAGCACGTGGGGAAGAGCAGGGAGGGCTGCCCAGAGGCTGCGGTGCTGTGATCTCAGAGGCCGGGCCTCCCTCTCTTAGAGCCCAGCCCCCAACCCCTGACGTGCTCCAGCCCCCAGCCTGGGTCTGTCCATCGGTTTGAAACAAGGTGAGTGTCCTGTGTCTCAGACGGGGAAGGCAGGAGTGGCCTGGGATTCCAGCCAGGCCTGTCTCTAAGGATTAAATGAGACAACGATTACAGAGGACAATGTGGAAGATGCTTTTATTTTTTAAAAAGGCAGGTTTTTGAGCTAGAAGTAGTGAGGAGACTGGTGTGCTAGAAGCCAAAGTATTTCAAAAAGGAGGGGGTGTTTAATGGTATGGAATGTTGCTTATATATACACCTGGATAAAAGGTTTAGCTGCTTTGAAGTAAACCTGATAGTTTCCCCTATGGGTAACCTTTATCATTTAGAGAATCTTAAGTTTGTTCTCCAGATGACTTGCCGTATTGTTTTTCACATGTTATTTTGGTCCTTAAGGTCATGTAGAACTTGAAATCTTGAGAAGGGGTTTGATTCAACCTTATGAAATTTATCCCCTAACAATCCCACATCATGGAAGAAACTTTTCTAAACTTATGTTCCAGGAAAAAGCAGTTTCTCTCTTTAGTTTTTTCTTAGTATGCCTTTTTGCTCGATGATTCCTTGTGTTCGTTTTTGACCATATTCTTCTCTTGACCAGTTATTTAACCCATTTAAAATTAGAACACAGCTATGAAAATATGGCTAATGTAGTTATTTGAAAAGCCTTTCTTGAAGAATCTTCATGGCAAAGAAAAACAGGATTTAAATAATTATTTTGCCTTCATGCAAAACATGTCTAGAAAAGAAATAGAAAATGTGGTTTATTTTCCCACTTGTACAAAAAAAAAATCCAGTATTTGTATAAAATTGTTGATGTTATGAATAATGACTTAATAGTCAATAACTTTGCTATTAGATTTTTTAAAATCATAACTTCATCTGATCTTGGGGATAATCAGGAAAGAAAACAAAATTAGTAAATTTATAGTACCTCACATAACTTTTATTAACATAGTAGAAATTCTCTTTATATCACACAGATTTTTATCGCACAGTGGTTTTCTAGATAGAAGAAAAGTTATTCTCTAAACTGGTATGTTTTCAAGATCTTTTTTCAATTGATACTGCTTTTCACTTTTAAGTTAGGGTTTTTTTTAATCTATAGAGAGCCTCTGTTTATCATGTATTTTAAAAATCTGTTTCTAATAAAGATAGATGTTACAGACTGGGGAAAAAAACAGCTAAGTTTTTTTTAATGAATAAAAAGGCCTTTTAAAAAATGGCACTTCATTAGAATTCATTCACCAGCCACGCACTGGGCACTGTCCGGGTCAGGCCTCGCTCCAGACGGCAGAGCCGTGCATGCAGCTGTCAGACGAGGTGGCAGTCCTGGCTGTGCTGGGGGTTCTGAGCAGAAAGGAAGCGTATTACCGAGAGGCCCGTGTCCTGGACCACAGATTTTGGGAACCCGTTTCCTGGCTCTGGGCGCCCGGTCTGGGCTCATTTGTGGGCAGGGCAGTGGTGGGGATGGGCCTGTGGGGCCCTCTGCACCCTGGGAGCAGCGGCCTGGTGTGGCCACTGACGCCAGCCTTTCCTCTTGCAGCATCGCTGCCGTGAGGTTGGCGGACGGTGTCACCTTCGTGGTCTATGAGTTCTGGGAGACGGAGGAGGAGTGGAAGAGGTAGGTCTGACACACACGCTCTCGGGCTTCCAGCCCGCAGGGGTGGGGTGGGGTGTGGGCTGGGTAAGGAGTTGGGGTCCCAGCGGCATCCACCACGCGGGAGGCTCGTCTTCCACCCCTTCATCTGAGCTCTGAATCCAGGTTCCTTGCCAGCCCTGGGAGCTGAGGCCAGGGGTACTCCTGTTTAGAAGCTGCCACTGAAGGATAAAAATCCAGAAAGAATGTTTTCTGTTTAAGTCTGCTCACGGGGAGGCAAGAACCAGGCTGTTCTTGCCCCAGCAGTCACCCCCGGCCTTCTTACCTTCCCGGGAAGGCTCTGGCCCCCAAGCTTGGCTGACTGCTGCCAGAGCCGCCAGCCCAGGGTCAGACTCTGACCCCGCTCCAAGCCCCAGGAGCTCACGGGCGTCCCCCTGGGTTGCAGGCACCTGCAGAGCCCTGTGTGCAAGGCGTTCCGGCACGTCAAGGTGGACACACTGAGCCAGCCTGAGGCCTTCTCCCGGATCTCTGTGCCAGGTACTGGGGGGGAGGTCTGGAGCAGCCACAGGGCGGGGTGGGGGGGGGATGTCATGGGGGCACCACAGGCCTGGCAGAAGCAGCGGGACCCAGATTGTCCACAGACCCTTCTGTTCTCTCGTCGATGTTCTGTCGCCCAGTCGTGTCCGACTCTTTGTGACCTCGTGGACTGTAGCCCACCAGGCTCCTCTGTCCATCAGATCTCCCAGGCAGGAATACCAGAGTGGGTTGCCGTTTCCTTCTCCAGGGGATCTTCTTGACCCAGGGATCAAACCTGCATCTTCTGCTTCAGCAGGCAGGTTGCTTACCACTGAGCCACCCAGGAAGCCTTCTGTTCCCTCAGCTGCTAGGAAGTGTAGTCCACGAGTGTGTGCTCAACAGAGAGGGTCCTCGAGGCAGGAAGGCTGGGGCGCCAGGGGGCTGGGGGGGTGGCCCCGAGCCCGGCCTGTGGCAGGCTGGGCTTCTAGAGATTTGAGAAAACACGACACTCACTACAGTAACTCTGAAAATGATTGTGACATTGAAACAGTACTTGGTGTACAAAAAAGTGACAGATGCAGATATGTGTGTGTATATATTACATAGTTTATCATATATACATATGTAGCCACCAAGAACTATGGTTCCTATAAAATAGTAACAGCCAAATACTAGCATATAAAATCTTGGACAAACTCCGGGAGATGGTAAAGGACAGGGAAGCCCAGTGCAGTCCATGGAGTCACCAAGAGTCAGACACGTCTTGGTGACTGAACAACAACAGGTATATAAAATGTGAAGTTCCAACACTGTGTGCATTTTTTGGAAATCTAACAAAATCCAAAACCATTTTTGTACCTGTTGAAAGTCAAAGATGCTAAATATCTATGGCCCCTGTTTTCCTGTAAAGCCACCCTTGACAGGATAGCACAGCTGGTGACTGAGGGCCTGGCGCAGGTAAGACAGTTGTCCTGGGAGGGAGCAGAGGATGTGAACACACCCCTCTACATAATTTAACCCCCATTTCTTCCCCAGCATCACCTTCCCTCCCCCAAGGGTTTCACAGAACTCCAGGGCCAAGAAAGAATGTAATGCTCTAACTGGCAAGATACGTTTCCCCCTCCCTTCCTTGATGATGGGCTACAGGCAAATTTTAAGGCACACAGGGCCGCCGGTCACACCTTCCTCCTGGCTGGCGGCTCTAAATGGTGCTCCAGTCTGAATGGAGCCCGATCTATACGTTAGCTCCAAAAAATACAGACACGAGAGCAGTTTTATTTACAGACCCTTTCCCTTCACGTCTCCTTTAACCAGACGTCAGTTTCTTCTGTCAGGGAATCAGGGGCTCCTCTGTCAAGTCACCTTTACCAGGCCACGGTGGAAAGGCAAGTTCCCATCCTAGAAAGTTTACATTTACTTTTTTAAATGGGCATACGGGCATTTTAAAGGCAAGTCTGCTCATCGGGTATATGATTGGCCAGCAGGGGGGACAACCAGCAAGCACCCCTGGGGCGCCTCGCTCTGCCTTCCCCCTTCGCTGCCCACAGGCCCGCCCAGCAGGATGGGCGCAGGACGCAGGAGGGACGGCTGCAGGCATCGCTCTCCTGCCCTGAGCGGAGGCAGGGCTTGCTTCTTGCCCCCATGACCCCTCTCTCTCCCCCAGCTGCTTGGTGCACCCTGGGCCGTGACTGACCACCTCCCCGAGGCCCCACAGATGAGTCTGCCGCCCTGCTCCCTCTGACGACGGATGTCCACTCTTTTCTAGAAACTTTGGTATACTAGCTGTCTTTTCAGTATACTTCCAAATAAGAGTGTCTCTTCCCGCTGTTCAAAGTGAAGGCGCACCCCTCCCCTGGCACCCCCCGCCCCACCCTTGGCGGCAGAGCAGCGTCTGACTGCCAGGGCCCTGCTGACGCTGGAGAGCGGTGGTGACGGAGGCGGCCTCCGCCAGCAGACGGCCACGCATGACCAGTCCCCGTCCGCCTCCCCTTCCCTGGTCGCCACTCCTCCACGCGGTAGGGGGCCGAGACCCTGTAGTTCCCCCCTAGGCCGGGGCTGAGCCCGCAGGCGGCGGTAGACCCCACGTAGCAGTGCCCTGCTAGGCCAGTAACCGCCGGGATGAGCACCAAATAAACTCCCATTGTGGACAGCTGTGTGTGTGTGCGCCATTTTCTGTGATGGCTGGGGAGGGAAGCCACTTTATTACTATGAAACCTGAGCCAAGTCACCCCACCTCATGTCAGGGGGGACATTCCAGGTTCCTAGAGGCCGTCACACCAAGGGCAGAGGCCAGACCTGACTGGACACAGTCTCTCACTGCACCCTATGATTTGCTGTCCAGCCACACAGAAGGCCAGGCCCAGACTGCATTCAGACCCGACTCTGGACACTGTGACTTCCTTCTGTCTCCCTGGCCAAGTTGCAGGAGAGCAACAGGACACAGAAGTCTCAGGGGTCAGGAAAGGAGAGTCCCCGCGTCCCTCTCCTGGGGGAGGAGGCAGAACTGCTGGGCATGGGGACTGGGGAGCTGGGGGAGGAGGCAGACGGCCCTGGAGCTGGGTCGGGCACCCTCACGGCAGGACCAGGTCTGATCTCTGCAGCCCCGCTGGGACCGGTGCTGTCACTAAAGCCGCCACTGCCAGGTGGGGCCCTGCCCAGCCTGCCTCCTCAGGCGGCAGGGGAGCCGTGAAAGCCCCTGCTCCCCGGGATGTCCCCCTTGCACCACCTCCCGGGGCTTGGCGCTGGTGCCTCATGCAAAACCAGTGCAACCACAAGGCCTGGACGGAAGGGTGAAATGCAGGCTCAAATCCCAGCTGTGTCCCTCAGCCTCCCTCAGCCTGTTTTCTTACCTGGAAAGTGAGGGGGAGACCCCTCCTCTGGAGACCAGGAGCTGCCTGGCTTGTGCCAAGGCTGCTGCGGGGAGTCCCCGTAAGAACCGCCACGCATAACCCCAACACACACACACCTACCTCCCCAGCGCCTGGGCCGCTCCGAGCCGCTCCACTGTTTCAGCAACAGTAGTCTTGGGGGTCGGGGCAAGGCAGACGGCCCTGGAGCTGGGTCGGGCACCCTCACGGCAGGACCAGGCCTGATCTCTGCAGCCCCGCTGGGACCGGTGCTGTCACTGAAGCCGCCACTGCCGGGCGGGGCCCTGCCCAGCCTGCCTCCTCAGGCGGCGGGGGAGCCGTGAAAGCCCCTGCTCCCCGGGATGTCCCCCTTGCACCACCTCCTGGGGCTTGGCGCTGGTGCCTCATGCAAAACCAGTGCAACCACAGGGCCTGGACGGAAGGGTGGAATGCAGGCTCAAATCCCAGCTCTGTCCCTCAGCCTGTTTTCTTACCTGGAAAGTTGGGGGGAGACCCCTCCTCTGGAGACCAGGAGCTGCCTGGCTTGTGCCAAGGCTGCTGCAGGGAGTCCCCGTAAGAACCGCCAGGCATAACCCCAACACACACACACCTACCTCCCCAGCGCCTGGGCCGCTCCGAGCCGCTCCACTGTTTCAGCAACAGTAGTCTTGGGGGTCGGGGCTCTTGGAGGTGCATCTGAGGAGCCCCCCACTACCTGGGCCCGCCCCCGTCCGAGCCCTCCCGTCACGCAGATCTGTGCTGGTTGCGGCCACGAGCACTTGGCACCACCTCCAGTTCCGCACAGGAGGAGCAGGCTCGGAAGAGAGCAGACACCCGCCCACCCAAAAAGGTGCGAGAGCCTCCACTCCCCCTGCCCTCCAGGGCCAGGCGCCCTCGCAGCCTCCTGTGTTGTCCTGGGATGGGCAGGCGGGGAATCCGAGACCCCAATAGGCAGCAAACCCGGAGCGCTCAAGGCCACGGTCTGTGCCCCGCCCGGTGCTCAGACCACCTCACGCCCAGTGTAGGAGGGCGGGGGGCAATGGCCTCGGATTAACACAGGTCCCCCCAACAGCTGGACTTGAGTTGCCACATGACCCCACAGCTCCACACCAGGAGGCCCCAGAGAATCGAGACAGTGAAGCAGGGTCCTGCGCCCATGTGTTCACACGTGAGCCAGAAGGCGGCACACACGTGTGCGTAGTGGGTGAGCAGACTGCTGAGCGCCTGTCTGTGCGGCGGACTGCGGGTCAGCCGTCAGGAGGGACGACGTCCTGGCCCAGGCTGCGGCACGGTGCCCTCACGGATGTTCTGAGTGAGAGGAGCCGGGCACAGGCAGCCACGTCGGTACAACCCATTCACAGGGAACGTCTGGACGAGTTAAACCCCTAGAAGTGGAAAGCAGCTGAGGGGTTGCAGGGGACTGACCGTGCAGGAAGGGCTTTGGGGACAGGATGCAGAAGGCTCAGCAGTGTGGAGGGGCTCAGCTTCAAATGGTTTATGTGACCTGAATCTCATTTCTTTAAAAAGAAAGTCACAGTCAACTCACTTGCCCAAACACGTTCACAGCCTGTGTTCCTTGTGTTCAGTTCAGGACCTAAGCCTGCCATGGGAGTGGTGTGGCCGCCACTCTGGTGGGTACAGGCCACCCCTCGGGGCTGGGCTGGTCCCCACGTGGTCCCATGGGGGCACCCGAGCCACTGGGAGGGCCCTTGTCCAGGACGCGCAGACCCCCTGCAGCCCGGGCCACTCCAAGCAGAACATGTAACCTGGACTGCCCTGTTCACCCTGTTCATGGCGGTCACTTGAGACAGAAGGGTCTCTACATGCCAGCACAGGTGTCACCATTGATGGACCAGGACCCTGTGACGGGCCTGGTTCTGTGGGTCTTTCTCAGCTCAGCCTCACGGCTATCGGGGGAGACAGCGGCTGCCCCAGTTCCAAGAAAGGACACCAGGGCTGAGAACCACACTCACAGAGGTTTCCTAGGTCAGTGACCTGAGGCTGAGGGCTGTTCGGGGCAGGGACGGGCCCGGCCAAAGTCACAGGGCTGGTAAGCAGCAGCGGGGGGTCAGCCCAGACGTGCCAGACCCACTAGCCTGTGCTAGGACCACCCTGAGCCAGAGCACGCACTCCAGCCCTCCGTCCTCCAGCTCCTTCCCTGGTAGAGGGTGCTTGCGGGATGGCAGGGGCTCGGACCTGCCCCCGGAGCACGGACGTCCGCCTCGTGTGTGTCTGCATCCCCACCCTGCATGATCACGCCTGATCTGAGGCTCGGTCCTATGACAGCCCCATCTGTACCCGTCAGCGGCGGGATGCTGATGCCCAGGGCAAACCTCGTCACCCCTCCAGGAGCCCCCCCACCCTCCCAGCATCAGGGTCAGGCCGCCACTCCCTGCCATCCTCTCCTGCGTTGCAGGGAGCCCACGTGTCTGGCCGTTCCCTTTTCCCCTTGGATCTGTGTTCACCTCCTCATCTCAGCCTTGTTTTTCTGGAAATAAAACCACCATTGCTTGGGTCCCCTGCCAGCTGCTATGCATACAGCATCACCTTTAATTCTCATGTTGCCTCAAACACAGTAAACCTGCTCTGTTTGGCTGGTGGGGAAATGGATTCTTAGGGGAGGTTCCTAATAAATTTCCCGGATCTTGAGAAAGCAAATGGCAGACAGTGTTTGAAACCATAGCCTGGCTCCAAAGCCGCTTATCACACACCATCCCTTTAGGCACGCCCCTCACCTGCCATGCCATGTTCTTACCCAGGATCCTCCTATCATGGCCCAGCCTCCTGGCCAGCAACCCAGAGTCAAGCATGCAGGGTTAATATAACTGTTCATCTGCACCAGCTGCGGGTGCTAAACACTCCATGACCTCACTTCTCGGCCCATGTGCCGGTTCTGAGACCCTCATTCAGGAGGATGCGAGGTGTGGGGGCTGATCAGAGCACCTGGAGAAGGACCCAGTGTCCTATCACAGGGTCAAGAGTCTTCAGGGACAGCCAGGGCACTGGGGGGCAAAGGCCCCTGCCCCCAGGGTCGACTAGTTCCCCCGCCTTGGCTATAGCTCAGAAGATGATGGAATTTAACCCCTCATCAGTCCCAACCCAACTCTGAAGCTCACAGGACAGGCGGCCTTGAGGTTCTCAAGCCTCGGTTCCCTCCACCTGTAAAAATGTTTGAAAACTTGTGCTAGGTCCAAGAAATCAGACACAAAAGACCACGTGTCGTGTGTGTCCATTCATACAGAACGTCCGGAATGGGCAAGTCCCTAGAGATAGAACGCAGAGCCCCAGCCTCCGTCACTGGGGACGGAGGGAGGGAGTCAGGGCTACAGGTCCTGGGTTCCTCTGGGGCTGAAAACGCACAGGAATTGGACACTGGTGACAGAAGTGCCACTCTACACCCACAGACACCCAAACTGTACACTTTGACCTCGTGGTATGTGAATTAACATCTCAAGAAAACATCAGTACAGGTGGACAAGCTGGGAAACAGTCAAACTACGTAACAGTTCCATCAAGACAACGTCGCACACACCTGACATGACGTAACGCGGCCTGGCCACTGCCTACCTGGGGCAGCTGTCCTCAGACGTGAGCCCTCCAGGCGCGGGCACCGCTGGCTTCCGGTGGACGTCCCAGGGCAGAGGAGGAGCAGCTTTGAATCCAGCAACATCCATCCAGGGGTCCCAGGCCCTGGGCAGGCTCAGCACGAGCGAGCACAGTGACTCGACGAGCAGCAGTGGCCAGTCCTCCAGCCCGACCAAGACGGGGTGTGCAGACACCCCAGGAGCACCACGGTGGCCAGCGGGCACCAGGGGCTGCAGGCGGGGAGAGGGTGCGCGGCCCTGCCCACACCCTGACCCCAGACTCCCAGGCTCCAGACCGAGAACTCCCGCCACTCTGGCCTGACGCCCCCGGTCTGTGGTCACGTGCAGGGCCTACGCCACCTCTCACCACCGCACCAGACACCCCGGGACCCAGCAGAAGCCAGGAGGCGCAGCCTGGGAAGGACGGACGAGTCAGTCTCTCCAGCGTCTTTATGAAGAGGTCACGTGGTTCTCACGGCCGGACGCAGGTGGCCGCAGGGGCCCCCGTCCTGCTCGGGTGCGGGCCGCCCCTCACAGCAGCTCCATGACGGCCGCCACCGTGCTCTGCCCGAAGATGAAGGCGCCGACCAGCACGGAGACCACCCCCCAGGCCTCCAGGCAGCACCTGCTGAGTCAACGAACCCGTGTCAATCACGCGCTTTACCAGAGCTTCCCACAGAAGAGCCAGACACGTGCCGAACGCTCATGGCATGAAGACT